CACTGGATTGTCTGGCCAGACTCGATTATTTACAGACCGCCGCCATATAGCTGGAATATTGCTAAGTGCGGCGTAAAACTGAACTCACTCACTCACCCAATTGCGTTGATCGACGCGCATGCTGTTGATGACTGGATTGTCTGGTCGAGACTCGTTTGTATACAGACTGCCGCCAAGTAGGTGGAATATAGCTGAACGAGGCGTTATACAACAACCCAACCAAGCAACCTAAACAAACGTTGAGTTTCTATTGGGGATATATAACGAATAGTGCTATGTGTCAAGATGAGGGCAATTTGATCGCTATAATCACAGTAACAACAAACTAAGAAATGAGAAGTTGAAGTATTTGTTTATTTACAACATATAAATGGAATACAGAAGTAAATATCAACATCATTTTGCCAAGGAATCATAGTTTCACAAATATATTTTTTACAATGACGATTGTTAGCTTTTTGCTGTGAATAATGTATTTTTCACTGATGGCAGTTTCATGTTTTCACTCCTCACAAATTTGTTTAATAGAAAGAGAGAGGTTATAGTATTTATCACTGAACAAACTGGGGGAGGAAGTCATGGCGATGTTCTTCGTGCATCTCAAACGAACCCATGGGAAGTCCAAGGCGACGAACTGGAATTGCGCATGCTCTATCTGAGTTGTCTCCCCTAGTTGGAACGACTTGTTTAGCGTGCACGTTCATCAGTATCCTCTATAACTCCAGGAGTTGCATTTCGGTACACCTTGCCTAAACCCGCAAATCAAATCCAGTGATTTGTGATTGCAAATTACCCGCCCTTGATTTTAAGTAATATTTTACCGACCACTCAAACACTGACATGGCAGAAAGCAAAAGAGTAAGGGAGGTAACTCGTACTATCTAAAACCAAAGCCACCGGTTGGCCGAGGATGGCCCTGGAGGTATGCAGGATAGCCAATCAGTGATAAGGGACATGTCTTACTTTTGATGACTTGAAGTTCCATTGGCGCGTATGTACAATGACTAATGCCAATCATTTTCTCCCGATAGATTGGCACAGCTTGAAAGACGAACATTTAGGACAAGCCGAGAATCTCCCAAGCTTTAATTTCCCATGAAATAAAGTTTCAAATAGAAATTATGGAATCAGAATCTTGGAATCCTACAGCATACCACGTTAACCTGAATCATATGGTTTGATGGTCTTCATTCACGAGAATATACAAAAATACATGTATTCGATAATGAACAAGAAACGAACAAGAATTATTTTTATGTCTCAGCTGCCAATACAAATTGGGACTCAACTGAACTCTCACTCAGGTAAACATCCTCATCATCGATCCAAATCACGTTTAGTCTCTTCTTGAACACTAGAAAAGACATCAGCAAACAACAATGTCTTACATTAGAAATAACAATGTCTTACATTAGAAATAACACGAAATGTGATCACAATGTACACCTACATGCATCCGCTCCCCAAACACGTAACACATGGACAATTACAACATGGAAGCATCAAAACAAAAAGTAGCCTTGAGCATACAGGTAAATACAGGTGTCACGATTACACCAACCTCACGATACCATACATATCGCGATGCTATAGTGAGGATACGATACATAATGCGATAACATTGGCATGATACGATATATATCACGATATCATTGGCACAATACGATATATATCACGATATTATTGACACGGTACGATACATATCGCAATACCATTGTCACGATACCGTACATATTGCTACACGGATAGCACGATGCGGTACATATTGTGATATCATTGGCACGATAAAATACATATCATGATATCATTGGCACGATGTGATACATATTGCGACATGATTGCACGATACGACACATAACGTGACACTGTACTATACGGTACATACTGTGACGTCGAGTGCACGATATGTCACATATCGCGACACTGATTGCACGATACGATACATATTGTGACATCTATTGCAAGATATGACACATATCATGGCACCGTTGGCACAACACTGTGCAAATCACATAGATTGCACGATATGACACACATCGCGACACTGATTGCACGATATGGTACATATTGTGACATCGATTGCACGATATGAACATAACGCGACACTGATTGCATGATACGGTACATATTGTGACATCGATTGCACGATACGACACATATCGCGACACTGATTGCATGATACGGTACATATTGTGACATCGATTGCATGATATGTCACATATCCCGACACTGATTGCATGATATGACACACATCATGGCACTGTTGGCACGATACTGTGCATATCATGACATCGATTGCACGATATGACACATATCGCGACACTGATTGCATGATATGGTACCTATTGTGACATGGATTGCACGATACGACACATATCGTGGCATCGTTGGCACGATACGATACATATCAGGGTATTATTGGCACATGTCGTACATACGATACCACTAGCACCACACAAAATCTCAATTTTCATGTCTTTAGTGCCAAATCTGATGTGGTTCGTCTGAAAGAGGCTGTTGCTATGAACCAGTTTGTGTTGAAGTCATTTAATTGATTTAATTTCCACGCCATATTCTGCGATAGACAGCAAGATAATAGCATGAGTATTCAATATGTTGGTTACCATAGTTACAGTCATAAAACAGAAAACGATACATCTTCTCAGACATTGTCAGACATGAATTTTAATGCGTCGATACACCGGTGAATCGTGACCCCAACTACTCCGGATAGAACCAACTCGGGTAAAATCTACCCAGTTACCGAAACGTCAAACACAACCCCAGATGAACTGAAGACACGATATTGATAGATATACATGTATATGTACGTCAAAATATAAACGCAATGTCGCTGTTGCCAAAACGAGTTAATCGACTGCCGAATTTTCCTAACTTACTTCGAAGCTGTCATATGCGGTCGATATTTTTTCCATTACGAACTTCACATCAAGTTGTGTTTGAGTTGGCACTATCCAGACATAATTGTATTGCTCGCTATTACACTGCCGCTGTATTCAATATTTAATAAGTAAGTATATATTACATTGAACTTGCATGCATACCACCTCAACCATTCCGATGTTGATTTAAAAAATAAACAATATATAAATGCCATCAGTACACAAAATACGTAATTAATTAAACCTTCCTAGCTTGCTGTGGTTGGAAAAAACACATTCATAAATATTAACAAAAATCAACGCAAACACCTTTGGATTCAGAAAGAACATTCTCGGAACCGCTTTCTATAAACGTTACAAAAGATAGTGCTTCTGATAATGATAAACAAATAACTGAAATATCACAAACACAATCGATATCAACAGTTGAGAAAATACAACTATACATTTACAACTATACATGTGACAATACAACCAGTATACATCAGTTATAAGTATTATGTAGCAAAGTTGCTAAATATAGGCATGCATATAGGTTCGTGGTGTGGTCTATATATGTCTCAGTACATTACACTTCTTATACGTACTATGAAGATTATCTGTATTAAGATAAGAGTATTTGTTTCACTGTATCAGTTCGTCAAGTTATTGTGGTATGTTGTACGGGGTTGTGGCAATGTCAAGGCTGTTTTCTTCGCGTCGACATTGACCTCACAGGGTGAAATTACACGGCAAAAGTCCTAGCTTCCGGTTTGCATACACCATGTCCCTCCATACATGCAAGAGTTGTGGTGTATAATGGTGGTACGTTTATTATAAATCAGATTGAAAAGAGGTCATTGAAGACTGAACAGGAACATTATACAATGGGTGAGTATGATTTATGCCGTCTTTAGAAATATTCCAGCAATGGGACACCAGAAATGGGCTCACACATTGTGCCCATGTGGGGAATCGAACCCGGGTCTTCAGCGTGACCAGCGGACGCTTTAACCATCAGGCTACCCCACCACCCGGAACATTATACAGACCACAGACTGACGTCTTGTCTCTAAAAGGCGAACGAGACCCTCAAGAAATTAAAATAAGCGCCATAACGTGTCCACGCTTCTCTATTTGGTTTTAAGAGACAAGAGCATATGAAGTGGAGTCAATTGAAGAAGGTTCACTCGATGAATGAAACTTTTCAAAGCACTAAATAGTGTTATTTCTAATACCTCAAATATGTTGTTTCTACCTATTTTCTCTTTTTCATGTCAAACTTTGATGTAGTCTAAGTAAACTAACATGTAGTCTCTAAAATGAACATATTTTACAGAAAAACATTTAATAATGAAAAAACTAAAAAGGAGTCCTGAGACTTACTTCATTTTCAGAACTGTGGAAATCTAGACTTGCCACATATTCTAGACTTGCATGGGTTTTCCTTGATATATTTGTTTCAGGGTCTGTATGACGGACCACAATCTAAGATACAAAAGGCCACAACTCAACATTCATGTCCAGAAGGAACTGTCTTCATGCGTTCTACGAGTGATTAAAGACAAGGATTTAGCGAATTTGGTTTTAGGACGCTAAGAAAAATTCCAACAATGGGGTCGTAAATCGGACATGACTCAATGCCCAGCGAACGCTTTAACAATTAGGCTACCCTACGCAAACTTTAATTCTTAAAAAACAACCTGAGCTACTTCTTTGAGTGATTCTCACGCTTGCCTAACTGTTCCGTTAACCAACAATCCTTCATATTGCACTTCTATTAAAAATATATAGACACTTCAAAATTCAAATTAGGCAAACTTTTAAATAAATGCACTGTACTTGTGAAGAAAAGAAAAGCAGTTCTCTTCCTATCCGTCACCACTCGCACCTTTCCGTAACCCCCAAGAAGAGGGCTTGTCCCGGAATAACACGAGTTGGTCACGATTGCATTCGTGACCAGCGAGAGAACATTCGTGACCAACTCGTGTTATTCCGGGGCCAGAGGACATTCGTGACCAACTCGTGTTATTCTGGGACCAGAGGACATTCATGACCAACTCGTGTTATTCTGGGACCAGAGGACATTCGTGACCAACTCGTGTTATTCCGGGACCAGAGGACATTCATGACCAACTCGTGTTATTCCGGGACCAGAGGACATTCGTGACCAACTCGTGTTATTCCGGGACCAGAGGACATTCGTGACCAACTCGTTTTATTCCGGGACAAGACTTCTTTTTGGAAGTTACGGAAAAGGGCGAGTGGTGACGATTGGTCACGACTACACTGCGCATGCTCACTGTGGCTGTACAACACGATACAACATGTAGTTGTTGCCAGAAACCAGGTGAAACGTGATACTGTTGTATTCATGCATTGTGTTTGAAGTTTGACGTCTGAAGCAAAGTAAACAAATATAAAATACTTCTTAGAGCCCAAATATGGATTGATAAACATTGTATGATATAATATCTGATGCTCAACTTCTTTTAAAGGAAAAACACAAATGGTGTCAAAATGTCCTACAAATCTAGCAACAAAACCATATAACCATAATGTAAACTATTACGAAAAATATCAAAACACAAAATGTCATTTTTCAGATATGCTGGAAGTAAACTGCCCCAAGAATACTTATAATATAGAAAACATTACCATTGACAAATGGTGATACTTCAGCTCAAACAACTGTCGCATTAGATAACATAATGCCCTTGTCTCTGGTTTTGGTCAAAATCAAATTTTGTCCATTTTTCCCCAAAAATTATTCTCGGGTCTGTAACACAAGGTGTGTTGGCACAATATTATTTTGTTAGAGTTACCTGCCCTTGTTCTACGTGTGACGTGTCAATGAGAAACTATGAATTAAAGCATTTATGATTAAAAAATAATACATGTATTTTGGGTCTTCTAAGATTTGGCACAGCTTGTCTTTGGACAGTGGCAGTTACATAAAAATAGGGTTAATTCTGTATCAAACGTTACAGCACATATGGTGTGTGTAATCCTTGCACCATTATAGGTCTGTCCACCACCATCTCACAAGGAAAGCTGCAAATAGGCTTCCCAACACCAACACAATATTTAATGATAAAATATATTTTTACGACAATCACAAAATTGAGTGATAAATTTGAAACAGTTTTCATGTATAATGTATGTTTTAGAATTGGCAAATAGTTTATACCTTCGAATTTGATTATTCAGAATCTGATGGCCCAGCTTCTCCAGCGAGCCCCAAGTTAAAGTCTGAGTGGGAATAAGCCACTCATAAAAAACCTTGTCACATGGTTGAATGGGGATTAGCTGGACACAATGGCGGATTAGAATGTCTGACTTATATCAATAGGGGATCACTGATCTTCATAAACTGATCTTCACAAACAGACCTTCACAAACTGATCTTCACAAACAGACCTTCATAAAGTGACCTTCACAACTGATCTTCACAAACAGATTTTCACAAACTGATGTTCACAATTTTTAGCATGCATAATGACATGACTCAACCCAGTCAGCAAGCCTGACCACCTGATCAGTGAGTGAGTGAGTTTAGTCTTTTGCTGCTTTTAGCATTATTCCAGTAATATCATGGCAGGGGACAGCAGAAATTGGCTTCACACATTGCATGATCCTATTAGTAACCTCTCATAAGTAACCTTTCAAAATTAACCTCATTAGTAACCTCTCATAAGTAACTTCTCATTAGTAACCTCTCATTAAGCAACCTCTCATAAGTAACCTCTTATAGGTAACCTTTCAAAAGTAATCAACCTTTCCAAGTAACCTCTCAAAAGTAACCTCTTATTAGTAACCTCTCATAAGAAACCTCTCATTAATAACCGCTCTCATAAGTAACTTCTTATAAGTAACCTCATAAGCAACCTCTCATTAGTAACCTCTTATAGGTAACCTTTCAAAAGTAACCTCTTATAAGTAACCTCTTACAAGTAACCTTTCAAAAGTAACCTCTTATAAGTAACCTCTCATAAGTATCATCTCCTAAGTAACTTCTCATTAGTAACCTCTGATAAATAACCTCTAAAATAGTGATGACCAGTTCTAAGCCAATCTTCCAACAGAGCGGAGGTCGATAGCATGAGTAACATGCCACACTAATAACGTACAATGATAAGCAGATTGTAAAGGCACACAACATGGCCATCCAATCCTCATTTTAATCTGGGGCTGTGGGGTAGCCTAGTGGTTAAAGCGTTCTCTCATCTCGCCACAGACCCGGGTTCGATTCCCCACATGGGTACAATGGGTGAAGCCCATTTCTGGTGTCCCCCACAATGACAATCCTGGAATATTGCTAAAAGTGGTGTAAAACTAAAACTCACTCACTCATCTTAATCTAAGACACTAATGAGCTACTGTGTCCATAAAGAGATGAGAAATGTCCATCAAGTAACACATAAGGACCATTAGGTGAAGCTAATCTAAATATGGACTAAAAAATACAGTGTTGCCTTGGTTACTGAAACAATGACTAGAATTCACACACAGTTCAACAAGGTAGAGAAATGAAGTACTCACACATCTCAATACTTCATCCTACAATATGAATATTCATTTGTCAGTTTCGTCTGTAGACTAACATCTAGTCTCTGAAATGAACATATTTTACAGCAGTCTCCAGATTATTTTCATAAAATATAATGCAAGGGATCCAAGAGACTTTCTTCATTTTCAGAGGCTAAAAAAATCTGCAGAGCCATAATTGTGTGGAATTATTCTGATTCTGATCATCCATCACCTACATGCCACTGAAAGTGTGTGTGACAGGAATATGCCCCAACACCTCTCCCCAAAGACACTCCCTTCCACTGCCATATCTTCAATATCATTATTCACTTTTACACATAAATGCAAACATTTTAGACCTCACCCCCTCATCAATATTGTTATTCACTTTTACCCATACATGCCAACATTTTAGTCATTAACCTCCATCTCAGGAGTAAAAATGAAAGGGAGATATTTCTTCAATGTAATCACACTTATTTTCTGAGTGAGAGAGGGGGGTGGGGGTGGGTGTTAGGGGGACAGAGAAGGAACAGGTCTCAGTGTGGGGTCTTGGGAGAGGGGGGGGTGTCACCATGTGCTGATACTAAACACTGACAGCTAGAGACTAATGATAACAAGTGTTTGCCACTAACATGACAATGTCCCTCCCCGCACGGTCAAAGTCACCCTGAAATGACTGGTGTCTGCGTAATCACCCAATGTAGGCTGTCGACATAACTGAAGACATTGGGTGCAGCGTTTTATGAGATACCATGTTTACATAAGTTTGAAAAGTGGTCAAAGTGTCATGGTGACCTTGAAGATAAGGTCAAGGTCACCAAAATCAACTGGTGTCTGCGTAATCCACCAATGTAGGCTGTCACCAAATATGAAGATATTGGGTACAACAGTTCATGAGATATCTCATCAACAAGGGTTTAAAAAGTGGTCAAAGTGTCGTGGGCGTCCCAGTGAAGGTAAGTTCAAGGTCACCCAAATCAACTGGTGTCTGCGTAATCCCCCAATGTAGGCTGTAACCAAATACAAAGACATAGTCCCAGTCCAGTGTTTCTTCTGTTGGGCAAGTTAATTAAGTTGTTTACTTAAAAAAATCAAGAAGAAAATAGGCCAGTATAGTGGAAAGATTATCAGGGCAAGTAATTTTACACGTGCCATTGTACCGGAGTACACTAGCAATATTAAAGTTAATTCCACCCCTGATAGGGTATAACAGTTCATGAGATATCGCGTCAACAACAATCGAGACGTACATTAGTATGAACGGACGCTGCTGAATTCCGGATTCTAGAGTTACCACAACCTCTGGACATGCATGGGCTGTAGTGAGTATATTTGTTTCAGGTCTGTAGGACCAACTAATACGTTAGATGGTGATATCAACACAAAACTTCATCACATCATAATGTTTGTCGGTCAAGCAATTTACATGACAGGTGAACAAATTATGGATGTCCACTTTTGTAATATGAGTAACACGATATTTTGGAGTATAATGCATGACAGGTGAAAAAAACATCCAGGTGTTCCGTCGTACATTTTGTCAAAACATAACCTCATCTCAGTTGATGTGCCTGTCCTATTAAAGGGAGATAACTTGCAAGGAGAACACTTCATTTGGCCCAAGTGGTGGCGTGTGGTCCTTTGCATGGAGTTCAGGTCACAATCAGTTGAAGTTAAGCAACGTTGGGTGTGGAGAATCCTTGGATTGGTAACCATGTGATGGGTAACTCCAGAGAGTTTCTACTACTTCAGTCCTGCCCTACAACGAAGCGCACATGTGGTCTCACCTTAGGCAAGTGAGTTTGTTCAAAATTGCCTCTGTTCACCCAGCAGAAAATGGGTACCAGGTGAAATATGTGGTGAGACTATTAACCTTCTAGCGCCTAACAGGTAGCTTGGGTTATCTGGGGTAATCATAATCAGATTGTGCGCTTTGAGCAGGATATCTAGCCTGGAAAAGGGGTGTTATAAATATTCTCATTATTATTTGGCCCAAGTTCAACTACAATCCAAAATCAAATAGTGACAATACATTGAAAGTCACAGTAACATATTACACATACAGAGGACTCAGATTGACAATCTGACAAAAACTATACATTTGCATGATTTCGAACTTTAGAAATGTTCTCACATACACAAATATTTAGCGATATTCACAAAAACTTTAACAAAATATTGACCAGAATTTACATACCTCAAATAACATTACCAACATATTCAGATGATTATATATTTAACAATCAGAGTAAACAAACCAGGTTGTCGACTCAGGTGTATAAACAAACACAAGCAGGTACACAATCAATCAGAAACAGCTGACATGGGATACCTCTGTATACAATTCGGATATTTCAATCTCCTTAAAATCGAATCTTTTTCTCTGCTGTGATACAGGGATATCAAATCTTCACACAGGGAGGTATCACAGCAGAGTGAGTGAATGAATAAGTTTAGTTTTATGCTGCTTTTAGCAATATTCCAGCAATATCATGGCAGGGGATACAATAAATGGGCTTCACATATTGCATCCATGTGGGAAATTGAACCCAGGTCTTCAGTGCGACAAGCAAAAGCTTTAACCTTTAGGCTACGCCACCGTTCCCAATATCAGTAGAGAGTGAGAGGAATATTCATAACCAATCACATGATCTCCAGAAAACCTCACATTACTTGGTGTCTGAAAGAATACATTGTCACACTTTAACTGACATTTTCATTGAAAACTTTAATTTCTTTTCAGCTTGGCCAAATCAACTTGTCCACCATTACAAGTGATGTGTTTCACAGTGACAACTGACTGAGTCTAGTGTGTGGGCCACAAAACTGATTAATGACCATGAAAACAGACTTGTTTGGGGTCAGGTAATTGATTCAGGTGATACACACGACAGAAGACTTATTTAATACTGGAAATTTATACTAATTAAACTGCTGCCATGCTTGTGGTGGAAAACGTTACCTGCCCTGGGTGCAACCTGACAATACAAGTTACCTGCACTGGGTGCAACCTGACGATACAAGTTACCTGCATTGGTAATAATTTACCTCCACCTGTGCAGACTAGACATTCCGAAATCGATCCCACACACATCAAATACAGTCCGGATAAAACAGAAGTAACCCCTGTCTGATGTAGCTGGGTGATCCAAGGGTCATGATTGTCAAAGAGCATATATATATATGTGACACATGATTGATCACAGTGGGAGTAATTTTTTGCTTCAGTCAGTACACTAGAAGGGAGACTCCAGTCTCTCCAACAACATACAAGTCTACAGTCTAGTTTCATAATATTGCGCTAGTGTTTCTGCAAAGCATATTTGGTTTCTTCTTTGACATTTTCCCCCATTTTTAAACAGATTTCAAATTTCTGGGGAGTGAGAGAGTGGGTTTAGTTGTACGCCGCACTCAGCAATATTCCAGCTATACTAGGCACATAAAGAAACTGTGCATACAAAAAATTTACATCTAAATTTATCAAACCTGTGTAGACACATAAGGATTTAAACTCAAGAGATTAGTGACATGTATCCGACATGCATGCACGTGCCACGTTCCGTGACGTCAGTGGGTTCGTCCTTGAGACGTGCAATACGTTGGTGCATGTGCATTCCGGGAGAGAGAAACAGAGCAAATGAATGCCACACAATACTGTCACTTTGGAAAGCTCAACCCCTGCCCTTGCGATCGTTCAAAAAATTAAACGGCTATTGAAAGCATAGCATGCCAAGGCTCATGTCTGCACAACGTCAAGAGGCCATTGGGATGGTCCGTGGGGGAATGTCTCAACGACAAGTGGCTGCACATTTCCACTGCCACCGGAACACCATTTCTGCACTGGTGAGACGCTACCAGAAAACAAATGACGCCATCGATCGGCCACGTTCTGGACGTCCATGTGTAACATCGCCAAGACAGGACAGATGGATTAGGGTGACCCATCTTCGCCACAGGTTTCAGACTGCAGTGATGACTGCCCGAACCATCCCAGGACTTCTGTAACCTTGGATCGCGTTGGGGGTTGATGACTTGTATAACAAATATTACAACCACATTATGCAGTAAAAAGCCACAGACACAAACAAAAGATTATCTGTATAAAGCCACAGGCTGATGGATTATGTTGACACTTAAAACTGAATCACTTTCATCAGTCTTTTTGACAAAATGCAAGTAAAAAAATAACATAAAAAAATAAAGAATTCAGTTACAATTTAACACAACACTAAGATGGCACCAGTGAGTGGGGATTGTGCCTGTCAATAGACTCGTTAGAAGCTGGTCCCAAACACAAGGGAGATGACTCATCCTGCTGTCAACATGCACAATCACACATCCTGTAAATTCTAAACACGTTACTCGCATTAAATGTATCATGAAAAAGGCAAAAATTCCCCCAAACATCTGTCAAGTTTGATGTTTTCATGGTTTTGATACATATAAACATCAGCAAAGAAATTTGTCCACTTTTGGTCAGAATGCTTTGATACACAACTTTGATAATGATAAATGCTGCTAATGGAATAATGGATCAAAGGCAAAATCATTGCAATGATTGTACTTGATCTGATTCTCATCTGAAGTCAGTGAGTTATTCAATGCCACTCTTTTCTTGCTCTGCCTCTGTTTTCTTGAAAGTGAACAACAAGTCCTCGTCCGTGCCGAAGCTCTTCCTGGCCTTGTCGTACTGGCTGAATCGGCTGCAGCACATGTCTGCCAACACGAATCATCATCATCATCATCACCATAATTATCATCATCAGACCTACATCATCATCATCACCATCATCATCATCGTCGTCATCATCATCACCATCACCATCATCATCAGACCTACATCATCATCATCGTGTCAAACACCATGGTTATTCTGAGTACTATTTGCAATAATGAACCACAATAATATATATTTATTTGTTTGTAGTTTATATGGTGGGGTCATTAAATAATCGAGTCTGGACCAGACAATCCAGTGATCAACAGCCTGGGTATCGATCTACGCAGTGTTATAACCACACAACACCATGTACTCACCTGGGCCCCCCTGGTCTGGGTTCCTGTAGTAGATATGACCCTTGTCTGTGTTATACCCACACTGTAGTAGATATGACCCTTGTCTGTGTTATAACCACCAACACAACACCTGGGCCCCTGGTCCAGTAGATATGACCCTTGTCTGTGTTATAACCACACAACACCATGTACTCACCTGGGCCCCCCTGGTCTGGGTTCCTGTAGTAGATATGACCCTTGTCTGTGTTATACCCACACAACACCATGTACTCACCTGGGCCCCCCTGGTCTGGGTTCCTGTAGTAGATATGACCCTTGTCTGTGTTATACCCACACAACACAACGTAATGTCCTGAAAGTAAGAATAAGATTGTGTCTTGATACTTGTTGGCACAATCTGTCTATATTAGTACTTGATCTTGACTTGTTACTTGTGACATGTTAGTCTGGTGTTTAATACACAAAATAATTCAGTGACAATCCAGTGACTGACATCATGAGCATCGATCTGCAGAAATGGGACATGATGATATGATCAACCAGGTCAGCGAATCTGACCACCTGAGTGACTTGCATGATACTGATGCATACTTTCATGGTAACAGAGGTAATTCTGTTAAAAGTACAATGTCACACATTTTCGACAATAGTTTGGCCTATATTATAGATATTGGGGCATATGCACTCACTTTAGCTTCCTATTGATGCTCCGTAGGAATAAATGATTTATTATCCCTTATGACTTGCATGAAATCGATAATTGAAACTTCGAGGTGGTCAGCTTCCAAACAGAGAATACTTACTACATGTGGAATGTAAACAATTGCTCCGTAGGAATAAATTATATGGTAGCTTCCCTGAGGGCTGATAGTTAGTATTATTGAGAGAAATGCAATATTTACTTGTTAGAGAAGTGTGGTGTGACAGTGTCTTTAAATACTACACATCATTATACTAGAAAAGAAATACACTCTTGTCTGACTAGTCAGAGTCAAAATATTCTGATATATATACTTATGTAAAATTTTCACTTTCAGAGTACAAAACTTGAACATAATTTGGGACAATAACATACCATAAAATATTTCAATTGAACGACATATAAATAAACCATATATTTATAGCATTCCCAGAAATTATTGAGAAAGTTGTTTCAGCAAATATCTAATACATGTATATAAACAGAAGTTTTAATTAAATGAATATGTTGAGATATGATGCTCTTACAGTCTAAGTGTCTTTTCATGATGAGTACTTTGTGAGACCTCCTTGCACTGCAATACATGACTGAACGCCTAGGTACATTAGCGATCAAAGTTTGTAGGAAATCGTGTGACAGCGTATCCAAATAATTGACCACTTCTTTCTTCATATCCTCAATATTTCTAAGTCCTTTTTGGTTTATTCTGTCCTTCATTAGTCCCCACACATTCTCAGTATGGTTTAAGTGTAGCTGGGCCAGTCTAAAACTTGAACATTTTTGTTTGACAACCACTGTTTTCTGTACCCCACAGTGTGTTTTGGGTCATTATCATGTTGGAAAATCCAATTATCTTCATACAGTGTTCGGGCCAGTGGAAGGATATTCTCAACGCTTTTCAATTTTCCCCTACTCACAATCTGACCAAGTCACCCGTGATCCGTAGCACTGAACTTCCTTGGCCTCCCTGACCCTGTCTTATGCTCAATCCCAACTCCTGACTGAATATTCTTCATAGTTCTGTATACTGTAGACAGAGGAATGTCATGTCTACCAGCTAACCCTTTTGCAATAGTCACACCCCTTTCAAAATCATCTAGAACCAGCTTTCTTTTCTCTTCTGCTGTCAAATCTGCCATGTCAACAAAGGAAGTCGTCTGCTACACCAGGGGAGATAACTCTTGATGTAGTATGGTTCATTCTTAAGCCTACAAGAGTTGCCTCCCATATTGAGTACCTTACTACATAATGTAACACCTATTTTAAAATTCTATTATCAGTATTAGGAAACAAAGATTTTCTCAATAATTTTTGGAAAAACTGTAAATTCACTCTTCGATCAATACAAATATTTTAACAAGGCCTTGCTGAGTAAACATGCTATCCACTGTAGCAGAACCCATAGGGACACCAAACTGAGTATATGTGGAACAAGTCAACAGTGTCATAGACGGGTATGTATACACGCGTCTTTCTGCAGGTGACATCCTCGGTGCTTGTTTACATTCATGTAAACAGTTCTGTTGTGTAAAAGAAATCAAATACACATTTACCATCACTCAGGAAAATTATGGACTACAAAACATACAGTTATACATTGTCAGATGTTTCACCGGAATTCAGTTGTTTTGTGCCATTTGTCACTTCTATCAATAATATTTGTTAGCATAATTAGTGAGTGAGTGAGTTTAGTTTTACATCGCGCTCAGCAATATTCCAGCTATACAGCAGCGATCTGTAAATACTCGAATCTGGACCTGACAAGCCAGTGATCAACAACATGGATCTATGCAATTGGAATACAATGACGTGTCATTCAAGTCAGCAAGCCTGAACACCTGACCCCGTTGGTCAACTCTTACAAGCATGGGGTAATCAAGACCAATTCTTCGGTAAATCACGGGTAATACAAGCAAAGATACATACAAGATTATTGTGCCAACAGCAAATGGGAGTACACTGTGATTGTTACCTTGATATGCAGCACAAAGGTCCAAGCAGCACAAACAACCCTTTCGCTGAAAGAAAAAGAATGATTCAGTGAATACTTAAGACATGAACAGAATTATTATGCCTTTATCTCTTTCATGTCTGTAAAATGTGTTTTCTACACTTAATCCTGAAGTGGTTTACTTTTGCAGAGTGTGATTGCGCTATATACAACCTGTACCATGTTCAAATTGGCTGATGCAGGTTGCCTTAAGTAAAAGGTTGCACCCTGTGCAGATAACAATGAATCCACCAACATCTAACAGCTGTCATCATGTGTTTTAATTGGGAAGTAAGTGACTGGAAGTAACAAGACTTGTTACAGCATAAACATTTGTGTACTCATTAACATACATAGCAGTAATCATATAATTGAGATATATAAATATAGGTAATGCAAACTTGAGACAGAATCATTCATCATTATCATCATGGGGTCTGGTTCTGTTGAATGTATCTGACAATGAGTACTTGTTGTGAAAATTGCTAGAAAAGTATTTATGCTACTTTATAGAACCAGGGCCAATGTTTTATAGTGCAGCCGAACCTATAAGCCAGGTCCCAAGGAAAGGGACATAACTGACTATAAAGGTTAACTTTCTATTCCATTCAAACCTACATGTGTTTATGGAGTAATATTTGGCAGGACTGCAAATAATCGAGCCTGGTCCAGACAATCCACTGATCAACTGCATGAGCATCAATCTATGCAATTGAGATACGATGACATGTGTCAATCAAGTCTCCTTTGTCGCCTCTTACGACAAGCATGGGTTACTGAAGACCAATTCTAAATGAGGTCCTCACAGCTATTGTGTGTTAAAAATGCAGCTGACCTGCTTCAGTGGCTGACAGAAAAGTGATGTCATTTGACTGTAATGTATGACATCACAATGACCTGCAAGCTTCTCACCTTGTCAATATTTTATGTGGAAGCCAGTTTGGAGCATAAAGTTATTCTTCTTGTGGCCTGTCGGACAAAGCGATCTTAGCGCTAAGATGATCATAGGCCTATGTTTAAGTATGGGAGTTACGATCACCTTAACGCTATGATTATCAATCTCATGTTTAAGTATGGGAGTTACGATCACCTTAACGCTATGATTATCAATCCAATGTTTAAGTATGGGAGTTACGATCACCTTAACGCTATGATTATCAATCCAATGTTTAAGTATGGGAGTTACGATCACCTTAACGCTATGATTATCAATCTCATGTTTAAGTATGGGAGTTACGATCACCTTAACGCTATGATTATCAATCCAATGTTTAAGTATGGGAGTTACGATCACCTTAATGCTATGATTATCAATCCAATGTTTAAGTATGGTAGTTATGATCACCTTAACTTTATGATTATCAATCCAATGTTTAAGTACGGAAGTTGCGATCACCATAGCGCTAAGATTGCCTTGTGGTACGGGGCATGGGATGTACCATGTGACAATCAACACTCACCATGGAGTCGCACCAGATACATTCCATCTGCGTCCAGTTCACCAGACTAATCACCAGATTGTTTGTCTTCAGATGACGGACGATGTCCTCAACGCCCAGCGTCCTGCAGATGAAACAAGTTCTGTCATGGTTAATAGTTTCTAAGTTTCTTTCCTCATTTTTCACTTGCTATTCATGCCATACATAACTCAAGCAGAAAAACTAAAGTATAAAAGAATCACATGGTCTTCTACTTCTTTTGAGCAGTACATTTTATTTTGCACTATATCATCAAGTTTGTTTCACTGTGATTTTTAATACTACTAATAATAGTCCATTTACCATGCGCATTTCACCATGCACAATGCATGCTCGAAGCGCCCATACCATCTGATTGTTATTACCTTGCATAACCTAAGAAGCCTGTTAGGCGCTAGGGGGTTATCACATAAAAACTTTATCCCACTGGGTACCCATTTTCTGCTGGGTTGACAGAGGCAATTTTGAACTAACTCATTTGCCTAAGGTGAGACCACATGTGTCACATTTGCTTTGTTGAGGGTCAGGACTGAAGTCCTAGAAGCACTAAGGAATCAAGCTGCCAAACACGATCATCCATCGAAGGACTCTCCGTGCTCAAAGTTGCTTAACTTCACCTGGTTCTATCCACAGGACCATGTAATTTGGGTCAGTGTTTCAATCCGTATAAATTTTAAGAGAGCACCAGTCTCACATACACGTTATGTCTCTGACTGTAAAGGAATAATTTTTTTACCTATTTTCAAGATTTTTAATATTAAATGAATTTCCAAATCGGGATTACCAATATTTTCTGTTATTTTGATTCGTATCTCTACTAACAGTATAAACAGCAATGGAAAAGCTGTGAAGTTAAATTGCTTCAGAAATTAGACATGATAAACTGAAGTGTATTCACACTTGCATAAGTTGTCTCCCCTTATGAGGAATGTGCTGCTACTTCCCATCGGACTTACCTTTGCTCCACATTGATGCCATTAGCCCTGGCATCGTCAAACGCCTTGTTGACCCGCACAGATTCCTTGTCATAGTTCCGGCAGTAGTAGGCCTGCATGGAGAAGATGGAGATGTTATTGACCACGGACTGGGCAAGTCGGGATGCTCCGGTCAGCATCACAGCACTGTTTCTACGTTCTACATGTTGATGAGGTGAGGTGAGGTGAGGTGAGGTGAGGTGAGGTGAGGTGAGGTGAAATTGGGTTTAACGTTGTGCTTGAGAATATTTCGCTCATATGACGACGTGCATGCGTGTGTATCTGTATGTGCGGCTGCTTGTCCTAGGCCAGACTGAAGCTGGTTTTATAGTGTTAGCCCACTAAGATTCCATGACGCAGTGAAGCATTAATACCCCACTCAGACACATTATACTGACTCCGAGCCGACCAGTCCTTGTACCCATTAATGCCGAGCGCCAGGCAGGGACCAACAAGAACCATATTTTAACGTGCGATCCGACCTTCCGCTCGCGGACGCTTTAACCACTACACCACAGAGGCGGCACATGTTGATGATAAACAGGGACATCATTGGATGGACATTTGAATTTTTTTATCATTTTGAAAAAACTTGTGATGCCATCATAATTATTAGCAGGGGCGTAACGCAGAATGTCCACTTGACCTTGAGCTATTCAACAGAGACTCCCCCTGTGGATTGTCTACAGAAGGTCCTGTTTAATTTGCTTTTGAACACCCTGCAAATAACACACGTTACAATTCTGGGATGAGGAAAAATGTGGTACAAACGTTACATATGTTTCAGGGGGAATAAACCTGTAACCTTTGCATCTTTTGACCCCCCCCCCCAATATTATTATAACGACTATTTCCACGGACTTTCAACCTACACATTAAGATTTTACCCTGGTCATGTCACTGATGGCTGTCATGGTTGATGGTGTTGGGAATCGGAAACCATATCCACTATCGATTAACTGAGGATTGTCGTGAACAATTATCGATTATAATCTAAATACATACATTTTTAATGTAATCACCAATTTTAAGGGTTTTTCCCAAGTTTTTTTCTACTTACTGTCATGCAATGAAATGCACGCATGCAAGTAACACACTGGAATTGTAATTATGCAATAAAAGTGGTTAAAATTTTACAATGCACATAGCTTTACGCTGTTGAGGACATGTTTGTTCGTGAATATTCATCAAATTTAATGGTTAGTTTACTTCATTCAAGTGTGTTTTACTAAAACAACAAAATTCTGATTAATTGAAAATATGTTTTTACAGTCGAAAATCATTTTTAATCCTTTTTTCGAACGATTTTCGATTATTTTCGATAATCGGAACACCATTGGGCATCAGCTTAAGTACAGAAACATAAATGTATAGAATGGAAAGAAACCAACGTGACGTCACAAATCTAAGAACTATAGTACAAATAGTTGAGTGAGTGAGTTGGGTTTTACACCGTTTTTAGCAATATTACGATGGGGACACCAGAAATGGGTTTCACACATTGTACCCATGTGGGAATTGAACCCAGGTCTTCAGTGTGACTAGCGAACACTTTAACCCCTATGCTACCCCACCACCCCTCCTATGATGCAGATCACTGGATTATCTGGTTCAGACGCTGCCGTATAGATGGAATATTGCTGAGTGTGCTGTAAAACAACAAACAAACAACCCCAGTTTGGTTTTGAAATACAACACTCAGGGTCAATGCTGGAAGGGTGTTCACGTGCTACATGTGATCCTTCTCTGGTCGTCGAATTAATCTTTTACTGCTTTGCTATTGTTTCAACATAAAGTATCCAAATGTTTTAGTTCTGGATATTTCTTGGATTTAGTAGGTGGTTAAAACTCATTTTGTTGAGATTATCTCTCCTCTTCTTGTTTACATTCTCAGCAATGCCCCGGGAAGAGCATTTCATCTTTTACATGCAACTGTACATAAAATTTGCAAAATATGTCCTTCAGTCTATTAGGTTGTTTCATTTAAGCACAATTTTTGTGTCGAATAATTAGTGAAATTTATAAACAGTGTTTCAAAAATAATCACCAGTCCAAGCAAAAGACAAAGGCATTGTTTTTCAAGTTAACACTCGCTGAGGTGCTCAAAGCACTGATTTTTAATGTAAATATTGTTAAAATATTCAGCTTAAAGTCTCTGAGAACAGATACCCTGTGTAGTTGAAGACTCGCTCCCATATATACATGTATTAACATTATGATTTTATTTTTCAAGCGGGGAAAATAAATTTTATTTTAATTCTTGAAAAAATACAATTGGCAGATCCATAAAATAAGGAATAAAATTGGTCTGGCCTAAGGTAGAAAGAGCGGATCCTACCAGTCTCAGTGATATTATCTGATATGATACCTCTCTCTGTGTCGATCTGTCTATACTAGCACAGGAAATCCCATCAGACAAATTTTGGAATACAGCGTTTTTGCATCAAGATTTCTCAAGTTCTTATTTGAGTAAGTAAATCATTTGGACCAGGACTCCTGACTTCAATTAATATCCTGAAAACAACTGAATTGGGCAGTTCTGAATGTCGGCAGTGCCAGTTTACTGTGGATATGTCATACACCCTGTAACTCCTCAGTGACGTATCATCTATATAGAAAAGGACATTAGTGGAATATTAATGCTGAAGATGTCCTTGTCGATACAACGCAATCAAATGTATCTAATACAACAGCATGACAGTTCGATCAAGAAAACGACACAGCGGAACGGAATCATCTTAGGGTATGTTTCTGTATTCTGGTTTTGGCTGTATACAGAAACGCACCTTGGGTACACGTCTGTAGTACCCATGCTGATAACGACCCCTTCAGCAATATTAATATCCAGTGTGGTTTTCATTTAATTTCTTTGAAGGTTTTACTCAGGTGATAATGATATGAAACCAAACCGTTCGCATAAAAGGAGACATCTTACATCTGATTGGCTGAAGTCCCCATAAACCTTACTCCTCAGTGACTTATCATCTCAGCCTGTGTTCATTCAGGGTTCGGCCAACACAGCCTGTATTGATGATCGTGAGCTACACAGATATAGGTATGGTGTCCGAGACCTGATTTGACTGAGACTGAATCCCACCCACCTGCTTGCTGTAGTTCTTGTCGACCCCCAGGGTGGTGGTGAAATACTGATGGGGGATGGCGTACCGCTTCAACAGATATGCCAGGTCAATAGTCCACACACTGAAACATGCAAGTGAAGATCCCGGTTAGAATTGGTCTTCGGCAATACATGCATACAGCGACTAGCGGGATCAGGTGGTCAGGCTCACTGACTTGGTTGACATGTCATCCTATCTAAGTTGTGTAGAACGATGCTCATGATGTTGATCACTGGATTGTCTGGTCCAGACTCCATTATTTACAGACCGCCATCATATAGCTGGAACATTGCTAAGTGCGGCGTTAAACAAAAACCCAACAAACATCCAGTTTCCTTCTTAGGAAGGCTGGTCCTATGGTTAAAATGTTTGTTCATATGCCCTGCAACCAGGTTCAAAGCTCCTGTATGGTTCCAGCATGTAAAGCCCATGTTCTGGAGTGCACTACCAGGTTTACACAGCATTCATAGAGCAACCATCACCTTCAGGTTTACAGCATTCATAGTGCAACCATCACCTTCAGGTTTACTGATTTACACAGGATTCATAGTGCAACCATCACCTTCAGGTTTACAGATTTACACAGGATTCATAGTGCAACCATCACCTTCAGGTTTACAGATTTACACAGGATTCATAGTGCAACCATCACCTTCAGGTTTACAGATTTACACAGGATTCATAGTGCAACCATCACCTTCAGGTTTACAGCATTCATAGTGCAACCATCACCTTCAGGTTTACAGATTTACACAGCATTCATGGTGCAACCACTACATCACTGGGTGGAGAAGACTGAAATGGCAGAAGACATACCTCTCCCCACACTGCAGACTGTCAAGGTCGGAGGTGTACACCTGGTCGCTGGGAATATCAAAGTACCTGCAAAGACAACACAATAGTGATCACAAGATGACAAATCCCAGCAGCCCAAACAATTTTATAAAACCCCACATCATCTTAATGTCATAGTGAGCCCTCCAAAAGTGATGCATTAAAATTGATGAGAATATTCCAGTATACAAGAAGAGTTATTGAGCCATCAATACCACGAAAATGGGATTGCAGGGGAAAAAAACTTTCAAACTTTCCCACTAGACCCCAGGACCAGTGAGTGGACAATAATGAGCGGTCCTGTCTACTTCACTGGTCCAATGTAATATTCATAGATTTACTTAACCATCAATACAAAATTCACAGGCCACCAGGACCACCAGGGCTCCAGATAAATGTTCAACATCAGGAGTAAGTACTCCTTACTTTTTCAATGCAGGAGTACTGGAAAACCTTAAGAGTACATTAAGAGTACATTAAATGTACTTAATGGAATTTAATGGGGTACCAGTAATCTTGTGTTTTGTTTCATATGTGCACAACAACATTGCTACTCTTGTGTAAACAAGTCAATAAACAATAAAACAATACTTTTTCAGATAAATACATCTGTAAATCATTCTAAGACCATACACCATTGCTGTAGTGCTACGTTTTCCATATTATTTCCTACCGTATCGTGCATATTATATATCCGTACATACTCCGATACGGCCCTTATCTGCAGCCCTGACCACTGCTACCTTATCGTCTAGAGGTCCTGATGAATTATTACTAGCCAGGGACCAGAGGACCAGTGTAAATTTCGCACACTAGGACATTTCATTTTGAATGTAAGAACTGAAAGCATTAGCTTACAATATGACCCAGTATTTGTGTGCATACTGAAGAAAACCTGTAGTTTGGGGTTCTGGAAAGACACATCAAATGAATACACATGTTGCCTCTAGTTATAAGACATATTTGAGAAGGTTGCTTGGAACAAAGACAGTTTCATACGCTGCATGCAAGTGTCACAGCTCCTAGGTCAGTCAGAAAGCCGTGTTAAAAAATTAATGGCTTATTGCGAAATGAAAATAATGCCATTTCAATGAAAATGCATTTGTAACCATGGCAACTGCTTATTCCATGATATTCCAAATGCAACTGGGTTCATGAAAACATGAGCAAAAACATCATAACCAAATGTTTGCCTAAACCTTGCTTGCATGAGGCCACTAATTCAAACATATTTCCTAAATCTGTGCTGAATTTAGCATTACATTTTAAACGGAAGGAAGAAAATAGAGATATGTCAACAAAATACTGAAATAGATTCTTCACCTGATTATATATTGCCCTGTGTGAGATCTGAGCACGACATCTACCATCATAAAACAAGACCACCATCACAATGCTTCCTCAAGAAAACTAGTACAATGTAAGGACAAGGAATTAAATGAAAGTCATAAGCTGATTAAGATATCACAACACACCTAACCAGGCTTCTGTGAAAAAGCACAATGAATGATCCATTTGATAGCCTCCCACAGCGATCGATAGATGTTTTTAAAGTTATCAAAGGATCATCTTAACCATAACATCCCTCTCTTGATAGATGCGGTGCAGTCACCTCAACACCACTGAGACCAAATTCTTAACATCCTTGGAATGCTGACACTGCAGACAGAAGTGTTCAGACAGCCTCACAGTGACCTGTAAATATTGAAGTCAGGAACAGACAGTGCATGTGATAGTCTGTCTCTCACTCCCTGAAGTCAGGAACAGACAGTGCATGTGTTAGTCTGTCTCTCACTCCCTGAAGTCAGGAACAGACAGTGCATGTGATAGTCTGTCTCTCACTCCCTGAAGTCAGGAACAGACAGTGCACGTGTTAGTCTGTCTCTCACTCCCTGAAGTCAGGAACAGACATTGCATGTGTTAGTCTGTCTCTCACTCCCTGAAGTCAGGAACAGACAGTGCATGTGATAGTCTGTCTCTCACTCCCTGAAGTCAGGAACAGACAGTGCACATGTTAGTCTGTCTCTCACTCCCTGAAGTCAGGAACAGACAGTGCATGTGTTAGTCTGTCTCTCACTCCCTGAGCCTCAGTCTCTTGCCCAGCCCTTTCTGCAACACTAACGCCCAAAATAAGCAAATCCATACTTCCTCAGGTTCAGGCACCTGTTTGGGCTAAACGTATTTATATTGCACTTGGATTCAGGCGGTGCTTAAAGGTCACATGCAACCAAAAACAAACATAATTAAAACACAATCATCACTTATTCATGATAAGTGATTCACTTATATAATATATACATTGCAGATTATGAAAAAACAAATAAACAAAATTATAAGCGTACAATCGCAAATCAAAAGTGCAATATTTTGTACTTGTGTTTACTTCCCTCGAAAGGAAGCAGCTGGGATACCGAACCCAGTCAGAGCGGGTGGGCGTGCACTCCAGTGTAAGAAAGCCTTTCATTGGCTGGTTCATTTGCCGATACATTTAGGGCTCTTTGTGTGTGTATAGAGATGTTGGTTTTTGTAAATACATGCTCATTTTTGAGTATAACATTTTGCAATCAACAGACACCATAACATGTCATGTGTACAAGTATCACACCTGCCTGTCTGTGTAATTACATAATGTGACAGAGACAGAACTCGGGTGCACGAGCCACAAATCAATGCGTTTTGTCTGTGGTGTATAGCCTGATAGGTGTTAAGTTCAAATTGCATGTAGTCAGTGATCGCAGTTGCGTATTGCATATTGTAAATAGCAGACAGGCAGGCAGACACATTTTCACTGTGCATGTGCCATGAGCGTAGTGCAGCACAGCTGTTGAAACCACTTTTCACCCCAGTTGGGGTGAATTTAGTGAATCGTTTGAACTCCGAATTTGAGGGGTTTTTTTTATCGCATTATTTTTCAATTTTATATATGCATTTTTGATCATTTGTTACTGTAAGTCCATACCGAAGGTATCAGAATCTGCAAAGTTGTATTTTACGTTGCATGTGACCTTTAATTAATGTTCATGTGTATATAGACACCATAGGTGGATCTAGAGGCGGCTAGCAGAGGTGCCCCCCACCCATTATTAAATGACTATTGAAACTTTCTTGAAAACGGGTGAGCATAGACTGTGCACAGCCCTTTTCTCAAGCACCTCTATCCGCCCCTGGGCACTGTCCTGTGTTGACAGGGTGTCAAATCTTTAGGGCTGGCTATTGATATTGTGCATGGAGTCTGATAATTGTTTAACTAAATATTGATGGATTATCGACAAATATCAATAAGATAAGAAGTCTGAAAGAAATTACTATATTTCAGACCACCGGTAAGATGTCACATGTTTACACATGGGTTACTAACAAAAAAGCACCCTTAACATAATTCAGAAGAAGTCCATGAATAAAACTTGGTTGAATGAACGATATTATCTATGACACTATGACAGATCGTAAGAGCTTCCAGGTATTTTTTTGACAGGTAAAAGCTTCCAGGTGTTTTTTTTTATAGGTAAAAGCTTCCAGGTGTTTTTGTTGACAGGTAAGAGCTTCCAGGTGTTTATGTTGATAGGTAAGAGCTTCCAGGTGTTTATGTTGATAGGTAAGAGCTTCCAGGTGTTTATGTTGACAGGTAAGAGCTTCCAGTTGTGTTTAGGTGTTTTTGTTGACAGGTAAGAGCTTCCAGGTTGTTTTTTGACAGGTAAGAGCTTCCAGGTGTTTTTGTTGACAGGTAAGAGCTTCCAGGTGGTTTTTTTGACAGGTAAAAGCTTCCAGGTGTTTGTGTTGACAGGTAAGAGCTTCCAAGTGTCTGTGTGGCAGGTAAGAGCTTCCAATTGTCTTTGTTGACAGGTAAGAGCTTCCAATTGTCTTTGTTGACAGGTAAGAACTTCCAGGTGTTTTGTTGACAGGTAAGAGCTTCCAGGTGTTTTTCTTGACAGGTAAGAGTGAGCGAGTGAGTGAGTTGGGTCTTACGCCGCTTTTAGCAATATTCCAGCAATATCACGGCAGGGGACAGTAGAAATGGGCTTCACACATTGTACCCATGTGGGTAATCGAACCCGGGTCTTCAGCGTGACGAGCGAATGCTTTAACCACCAGACTACCCCAATGCCCTTGACAGGTAAGAGATTCCAGGTGTTTTTGTTGACAGGTAAGAGATTCCAGGTGTCTGTGTGGCAGGTAAAAACTTCCAGGTGTCTTTGTTGACAGGTAAGAGCTTTCAGGTGTCTTTGTTGACAGGTAAGAGCTTCCAGGTGTCTTTGTTGACAGGTAAGAGCTTTCAGGTGTCTTTGTTGACAGGTAAAAGCTTCCTGGTGTCTTTGTTGACAGGTAAGAGCTTCCAGGTGTCTTTGTTGACAGGTAAAAGCTTCCAGGTGTCATGTTGACAGGTAAGAGCTTTCAGGTGTCTGTGTGGCAGGTAAAAGCTTCCAGGTGTCTTTGTTGACAGGTAAGAGCTTCCAGTTGTCTTTGTTGACAGGTAAAAGCTTCCAGGTGTCATGTTGACAGGTAAGAGATTCCAGGTGTCTGTGTGGCAGGTAAAAGCTTCCAGGTGTCTTTGTTGACAGGTCAGAGCTTTCAGGTGTCTGTGTGGACAGGTGTCAAAGCTTCCAGGTGTCTTTGTTGACAGTTGTCCAGAGCTTTCCAGGTGTCTGTGTGGACAGGTGTCAAGCTTCCAGGTGTCTGTGTTGACAGGTAAGAGCTTCCAGGTGTCTGTGTGGCAGGTAAAAGCTTCCAGGTGTCTTTGTTGACAGGAAAGAGCTTTCAGGTGTCTGTGTAGCAGGTTGTCAGCGCTAACAGTAGTCTGTCTCACAGTCCCTGAACCACATTATTTTCCCTTCTGCCTATCCCTGCAATGCTAAAGCCCTAAATGAAGCAAGTCTAGATTTCCTCAGATTCAGGATCTGAATCTCCCTGTTCACTTGGGCTCTTGTTCAGTCTAAGAGGAACTGATTGTTCCTATCAGAATTATATATATTCAGAGAGTAAGCATTGGTCTCTGCATGTGTGTGTCATTGTTGTTTAACGCTGCATCAGCAATGTTCGTGATGTTCAAGGGGCATCAGGGCGGACCAGGCATCTCATTTCATGAACATCTTTCATGAATAAAAGTAATAAGTCTTTATTCTTATTTTGTACTGTGTGAAGGAGGATCGGTTTGTTGGTTGGTGTTTAACGCTGCACTCAGCAATATTCCAGCAATATGGCGGCAGTCTGTAAATAATTGAGTCTGAACGATCCAGTGATACGCTGCACTCAGCAATATTCCAGCAATATGGCGGCAGTCTGTAAATAATTGAGTCTGGACGATCCAGTGATACGCTGCACTCAGCAATATTCCAGCAATATGGTGGCAGTCTGTAAATAATTGAGTCTGGACGATCCAGTGATACGCTGCACTCAGCAATATTCCAGCAATATGTGGTGGATCTCCAGTATCTTGAGTTCTTTTGGAATTGTTTTTACTTTTGCTCAAACTTGGGTATTTATCTATATTCGATCGACATTTAGTTAACGATTATCGATTCCGAAGAGCTATACTGATAGCCATTCCTACAAGGGTTTATATAAAATTGAATGGAGATACAATCAGTGTGCGAAATAGCCACTGGCCTGATAGCCCGTGGCTAGTAAATCTCCACAGTCACTGGCCCGACTGGCTAGTAAATTATTTATGGAGTCATTTTGTAAATATATCCCTCTCCGACTTGTTAAGTTGTAATATACTATTAAATCATGCAAGATTATGGCCTGATAAAAATGTTCATCACATTAGCAGCTTAATGATGAAACCTGTGTCTATATTCAAATTTCGGACTACTGCATTATTTTGTGGGCCAGTAACTTTCAGGCATAGCTAACCCGACTGACTAGCAAAATTTGGAAACTATTTCGCACACTGGATACAATGTAATGAATTATCAAGTATTCTCTGTCAATGTTGAACTCACTTGAGGACCATGGATATGCAGGCAAGTCCGCAGTCCCAGTGGAAGCACTGTTGTACGTGCGGCACGGTGATCCTCCGGACATTAGAATCACTCTCATCTCCCCCTCCTGTCAAGAACAGCAAATTATCAGGAATAAAGACAGAGAAGATGGAATTTACAAACAAATATTTTGTGAGATTTTCAAAATAGGACATACCACACACAATTTGAGAAAAATACAACCTTTCCAGGATAGATTTTACAAAATCAAAAGAAAATCTATCAAATCTCACCTTACGCTCATTTTGAAATTTTCTTACTGCTTTATTACTGAGAATGGCTTTAGGACACCTTTTCACCAATATTCCAGTGAATGAGTGAGTGCTTTGCCACACTGAAGTGAAGCGAGCTGAGAAGTCACGTTGGTTGGTTGTTTAATGCCGCACTCAGCAATATTCCAGCTGTAATCAAGTCTGGATCAGACAATCCAGTTGACTTGGTTGACACACGTCATCGTACTGCAATTGCCCATATCAGTGCTCATGCTGTTGATCACTAGATTGTCTGGTCATGGCTCAATTATTTACAGACATCCGCCATATAGCTGGAATATTGCTGAGTGTGGCGTTAAACATGTTAAACAAAAAACCAAACCATTTTGGTGTATCAATTAAGTAAACAATAACAAAAACGACATAAAATGGTGTAAATAAAAATTGATTACTGTTCACAGTCAAAATTATCGGTAAACAATATTTGCTTGCGACTTATTAATTTCTATTCGTTTATATTTTAGGTAAATATGCTGTAACTCCATGTTTGAGGTAGGAAATGTAAATGACAACGAAAATTCAAACCACCATATTTGAAATAACCCCGAAAAGGCTATGAGCAGTAATATGAGTCATCAGTCATCTCTGTGTTTGCTTCCAGCTGACAGAAATACCTGAATAACTCTCGCATACTTTTAGTATTATTACGATACACTGTGATAGGCAGAGGGGAAATGAGCTACCGTGTTTGTTGCCAAGTCTTATTTCAGCCATTTCCTTGTATGTTGATGTGATGATAATGGCAGATGATGTTCCATCACCGATGTCGCCTCGAGTCCTTCTGATGAGTCGTCTAGTGGATGTTTACTAATGAAATCCAGGAAGAAACAACCACATGATGTTTACACCGGATGTGAGGCTTGTCATCAAAGGGAAACAATCCGCGGTATAAGTTGCATACCACTTTCAAGGAATTGCCACAGATTCTCTGCTCTAAATCTTTTCTAGTGCGGAGATTATATTTTATCTTGATTTGTATGGAATCTTTGGGATCGTCTTGACAAACCGGGCCATAAACAGATATTAGATTAAGACTGAAAAATACACTCGGAGATGGTAAATGCATCAAAATAAAGGCCATGTTTCCACCCGATACAATGGTGGTTTGAAAACTGTCATCGGTAAAATGAGTGCCAGCACGAATCCAAAGATCTGAATCGAGGTATGGCACGATGTGCCACGAGCATTGAAATATTGAACTTAGTTTTGAAAGCCATTTTGCAGCTCTTCATTCAAAGTGAAGGTGTCAGCATCAGCCGAGGCTTCGCCTGCCTCCAACACACCCCCACTGACCATTTCAGAAACAAACCCACAAGGATCGGACTGGGGATCTACATTTTTGGTGGTTTTGGCTTGTCTCTCAGACCTGGTGCGGGTATCCAGTGAGAGGCTAGTGCTCGATACGTAGCCCCTAACAAGCTTTGCCACCACACGTCATTGCAAGGTTAAATTTGGTTTATGCTGGGAAGATTCCTGAAGAGGTTACCAGAATGGATTTCGAGACATCGGCGCCGATAATAGTCTACCCGTCGAATATTATCGGACACGAGGTTGTTGTGGTGTGTTATAATCTAATTTTACTTGAAATAAACAAACCAAAAGAGTTAACATGGAAACTTATGTGGGTTTTTGCTTTGACTGGTGATTTTTAAAGTTCTTGTTTTCCCTCCTGCCATTAGGTTTTCTGAGGACAAAAATCAGCAAATCTAGAAATAAAATTGGTCTGGCCTTATGGGTAATATCAATGATTATAAATATGAAAATTGTTGTTGATATCATTCTGACTTTTGGGAAGATTCTAGTATTAATTTACACACATAATGCTCAAGGTTATGTCTGTAGTTAAAGGCTGCTTGTTAAGAATGTTCAGGTTGTTTGTTTCTATGGGTAATCCATGAATAAATGCATTGCCACTCATCAGTCATGTGAAGTATCTTGAGTTCTTTTGGAATTGTTTTTACTTTTGCTCAAACTTACTTGTTGGGTATTTATCTATATTCGATCGACATTTAGTTAACGATTATCGATTTCGAAGAGCTATACTGATAGCCATTCCTACCAGGGTTTATATAAAAATAGAATGGAGATACAATCAGTGTGCGAAATAGCCACTGGCCTGATAGCCCGTGGCTAGTAAATCTCCACAGTCACTGGCCCGACTGGCTAGTAAATTATTTATGGAGTCATTTTGTAAATATATCCCTCTCCGACTTGTTAAGTTGTAATATACTATTAAATCATGCAAGATTATGGCCTGATAAAAATGTTCATCACATTAGCAGCTTAATGATGAAACCTGTGTCTATATTCAAATTTCGGACTACTGCATTATTTTGTGGGCCAGTAACTTTCAGGCATAGCTAACCCGACTGACTAGCAAAATTTGGAAACTATTTAAGCACACTGGATACAATGTAATGAATTATCAAGTATTCTCTGTCAATGTTGAACTCACTTGAGGACCATGGATATGCAGGCAAGTCCATGATCCCAGTGGAAGCACTGTTATGCGTGTGACACGGTGATCCTCGGACATTAGAATCACTCTCATCTCCCCCTCCTGTCAAGAACAGCAGATTATCAGGAATAAAGACAGAGAAGATGGAATTTACAAACAAATATTTTGTGAGATTTTCAAAATAGGACATACCACACACAATTTGAGAAAAATACAACCTTTCAAGGATAGATTTTACAAAATCAAAAGAAAATCTATCAAATCTCACCTTACGCTCATTTTGAAATTTTCTTACTGCTTTATTACTGAGAATGGCTTTAGGACACCTTTTCACCAATATTCCAGTGAATGAGTGAGTGCTTTGCCACACTGAAGTGAAGCGAGCTGAGAAGTCACGTTGGTTGGTTGTTTAATGCCGCACTCAGCAATATTCCAGCTGTAATCAAGTCTGGATCAGACAATCCAGTTGACTTGGTTGACACACGTCATCGTACTGCAATTGCCCATATCAGTGCTCATGCTGTTGATCACTAGATTGTCTGGTCATGGCTCAATTATTTACAGACATCCGCCATATAGCTGGAATATTGCTGAGTGTGGCGTTAAACATGTTAAACAAAAAACCAAACCATTTTGGTGTATCAATTAAGTAAACAATAACAAAAACGACATAAAATGGTGTAAATAAAAATTGATTACTGTTCACAGTCAAAATTATCGGTAAACAATATTTGCTTGCGACTTATTAATTTCTATTCGTTTATATTTTAGGTAAATATGCTGTAACTCCATGTTTGAGGTAGGAAATGTAAATGACAACGAAAATTCAAACCACCATATTTGAAATAACCCCGAAAAGGCTATGAGCAGTAATATGAGTCATCAGTCATTTCTCTGTGTTTGCTTCCAGCTGACAGAAATACCTGAATAACTCTCGCATACTTTTAGTATTATTACGATACACTGTGATAGGCAGAGGGGAAATGAGCTACCGTGTTTGTTGCCAAGTCTTATTTCAGCCATTTCCTTGTATGTTGATGTGATGATAATGGCAGATGATGTTCCATCACCGATGTCGCCTCGAGTCCTTCTGATGAGTCGTCTAGTGGATGTTTACTAATGAAATCCAGGAAGAAACAACCACATGATGTTTACACCGGATGTGAGGCTTGTCATCAAAGGGAAACAATCCGCGGTATAAGTTGCATACCACTTTCAAGGAATTGCCACAGATTCTCTGCTCTAAATCTTTTCTAGTGCGGAGATTATATTTTATCTTGATTTGTATGGAATCTTTGGGATCGTCTTGACAAACCGGGCCATAAACAGATATTAGATTAAGACTGAAAAATACACTCGGAGATGGTAAATGCATCAAAATAAAGGCCCTGTTTCAACCCGATACGGCAATGGTGGTTGAAAACTGTCATCGGTAAAATGAGTGGTAGCAGAGTAGTCTGAATCGAGGTATGGCACGATGTGCCACCTTGCATATTGAACTTAGTTTTGCCAGCCATGAGTCGCTCTCATTCACAGTGAAGGTGTACAGCATCAGCCGCGGCTTCGCCTGCCTCAACACACCCCACTGGACCTATTTCTGGTGACCCACCCCCTGATCACAGAGGCCCCCTGCTAGAGGGTTGACGGCTTGTCTCTCAGACCTTCCCACGGGCAGTGAGCAACTAGTGCTCGTATGTAGCCCCTAACGCAAGCTTTGCCACCACACGTCATTGCAAGGTTAAATTTGGTTTATACTGGGCAACAAATATGACATGTTTTCAAAGGGGTGTGTTTTCATATTCGTGTATTTTTAATTTCATTTTATGTGCAAAAATAATTTCCATTCTGGATAAATTTTGTATATACTAATATTTTATTGTGGTTTATTTGTAATTAATGTAACACTTGATGTAGATTGTCGATGGATGGATATATACACTAAACATTCTATCTTCGTTGTTAGAATGTTAAGATCTGATCTCATTTGTTCACACGATCTTTACAATGCAATGTATCCCGCCTGTGAGCGAAATACGCCCCAGAGTGGGAGAATGTATACCTTACGTATGATATGATATGAATTTATTTTCTGTAAGTAGGCCATCGGCCCATGTACAATCAGAGGATACAAAATATCATTTTAGACAAGGCAATATACAAGGTTACACATTATTTACACACATTTGATCTGATCACGAGGGCATGCTTAATAAACTGCACAGTTTTTAGAAGAATACTGGTATCATTACATTGCATTAATTTTTTTGAACTTAATGATAGTTGGACATTGATCAAAATGTGGTAGATATAGTATGACCAGAAATTATTGAGAATTTTAGGAATATGTTTAATTGGATTTCTAGTATAAACAACCTTGACCAGCTATCAAGTGCTTGGTTTTATTCAAGAGAGACAACTCCGTTAATCCTTTTTCATTAGTTTGTGAAGAGTTATCCCCCTTTGTTTACTTGCTAGCAGACGACATTTTCAGTGATCCTCAGTATGGATGATTTAGAGAAGAGGAAGTTGATTTAAGAGTATTATAACAAGGACATCAGATCAGCTAAAGTGATTTCAAGTAGAACAGGCATCCCTTTATCCACTGTTTATCGTGTTTTGAAAAATATTGCAAATGGATATGGCATTGAGCACCAGGGAGGCGCAGGTAGGCCCAGAAAATTGACTGTCGGTGACATGAGGCGGCTTGGTATTCTTGTTTCTAAAAACAAACGAAACAGTTTAGAAATCTTAAGGCTGGATAAGATTGATAGAGGAACTGTGTCTGTCTGTAAGGAGACAATTAGAACTGAGCTGCATGCAATGGGTTGGCAGAAAAGTCGAGGAATTCCATCACCGATCATGAAACCTGGACAAAAGGAGCGAAGGTTGAACTGGTGCTTACAGCATAGAAATTTTAACTGGGACAATGTGATTTTCTCAGATGAAAGTTCTGTGTGGCTGTTTCCTAATACACTGAAATTCTGGACCAAACAAACTGAAAATCATTTGTATCAGCGCCCAATATACTAGTGAAATTTAAACAAAAATTAACAATCTTAACCTATGCATCACATGACAGACAAAAGAAAATGTAATTCATCCTCTGGGATGTTATTGTTACACATTTTACATATTGTTGAGGCATAATTATCATCTTTTCGTCTCACATTACAAAGAAGGGTTAGGTGATGAAGTCTAAGTCTATATTCTTTAAAATGTACACTTGAAACATAAAACTCTACATCTAATAAAGATTTAATGGTCTTGTAGTAAGCTAAATGCGATGATTCATTAATTCTACTCAATATGCTTTGCCCCTTTACATCAATAAGCCTCTGTTTGAACATGGATATAAAATGATTAATATTGCCAACATCATGACTAAACCACACAAATCCAAACCCGTTGATGTTTAACAAACTTTTTACATATGATGCCCAAGTATATCTACCAGCTGAGTCGAGATTTTTGCATGAAAATATAACATTGTTTAGGATACCTGTCTTCAGACATATGAAGTAATATACACCAGTAACGTACACATTTAACATAATAATCAACACTTATAC